GTTTTAACAATAAACACAAATCAGATATGAAAAGTTGTGGCAGACACAGACATAACTTCTGGATGTGGTTGGTTAACAACTTATGAAAGACCCATTTGTGCACTTTTCTTGAGATTCTTGGAGCCGCATCGACTCGAGGTGAGGCCCATTTTTAAAGGGACAACAAGAAAGTGGTGACTCGTCTACTGATGTTGTCGGCTTTGTGTTTGGCAGGCTGAGACATGCCACTGCAAAACCTGCGTTTCCAGGGCTTTGAGTGGGATTACAGAGGGGATTTGAGTCACATCTCTTGGGGATAATAGGTGTTTGTTTTACAGTAGCTGTGACGCATGCGGTTGCTAGATGTGAGTTTGGCAGACGAGGAAAAGATTGGTTGGGACTGTGGTGGGTGATAAACATGAGTTTGGGTATATGTGTGTGTGTGTGTGTGTCTCTGTATCTGTGGGTGTGTGTGCGTGTGCAGACATAATGTTCAATCTGATTTTCTTTTAATTACCTGACCTTTACACACAGCCTATGTGGGTCTACAGTATATAGTGTTAATGGTGTGTGTGTGTGTATTGAAGACAAGTGGGTGGGCGCCAGGCTCAGATACATCCTGTAATTACCAATCAAAGCAGCAAGTAGATCTTTCTGAGAACCTCCAACGCAACACGTAGTTCTTCTCTTCCCCGGAGGTCAGACTTCCTACGAAATCACAATTGCAGTTCTCCTGAAAACAACAACACGACCTGTGAAGCGACGCAGACATGAGGACGGAGCGAGGTGGCCTGTGTGATGTGGTGAAGATGAAGGCTACAAACAGACTTAGAAAAAAAAAAACATGTGCAAACACTCCTGTAATTACAGAGAGACTCACCAGCAGAGATGCAAAACTACTGCACACACACGTAAACATCAACAGGGTCAGCACCCACCGACATTTGTCACAGTCTGAATTACGCAGCCGCATAAAAACGGTACGATTTTGCTGACACGGCCAAGTGGTGGGCGACTCTGAGCCGGTGGATATGATAACCACCAGCAGCAGCAGCAGCACCACAGCATGGTGATATAGCTGACACAGTTCTCACAGCTCATAGTACACACATTACATAACTATCTGTCATAGAGATTTTATAAGCGACCTAAATGTGCTGCACAGATGGAGAAGCAGAACATGTATGATGGCATTTTGCATTGTTCATAGCAGTGCAAAGTTAAGTTTAGAACATTTGGATTAGTCGGCTTATATTGAATTGTGTATCGCATGTATGTATTATATAGCAACTATCATAAGTGATTTAGGTGATTTATCTATGGAAAAGCCAAAACTCTGCTGCTTCCAGCTGCTAAAACATGAGGATTCACTGCTTTTTCTCAAAATGACTTTATTGTAAATTGAACATCATTGGTTTTTGGACTGTTGTTCAGATAAAACATAAAATGTGACCTGTTTTCTGACATTTTATATACTGAATAATTTTTGTAGTGTAGACCTGAGAGCATGCTGAGGTCCTCAGTTCATCCTAATGTTCTGTGCTGTAGCAGAGATGCCCTGACATGCAAAAAGATTCATAAATGAAGGCAGGTGATGAGAGCTTGCCTGTGGCTGGTAATTTTCACGTTGAAGTAAAGCAAAATTTACCCCACATGTCAGAGTATGATTACAGACTAATGAAACCTCAGGCCTGCGGCGGCTGCAGCTGAAAATCCTTCATTTCCTTTCTTGCTCCTAATAATTGAAGTAGATTTCTGTACGTCTTGGTTTTTCAGCATAAAGGCAGGTATAATTAAATTTATATTTACAATTCTTAAAAAACATGACATTTACATTTAGCCATTTACATTAATGCTACAACTGCAACATCTTGCATCGACACAGTGAGGTATTTGTGGCCAAGCCCTGTCACAAGGACCCACTCCAACAGTTGTCATCCATCTTGATGAGCTGTCTTACTCTGAAATGACAGCCACTGCAGCCTGAGGCTCTAACAGGCCTCAACTTTGAAGTCACCCCAGCTGTTTAAGAGGGACACTGGCAAACTGCCATGAAATATAGCAGTGCTTCAGCAGGGACTTTTGTCTCCTGTATGGTTAACATTGCTGCTCTGTCCTGCTTCCTTTCCCACAGTGCTATTGTTTAGATGATGCTCCTGCACAGTGTGGCCCCTGGCTTTACTGCGTCTCCCTCAGCTCAGCTCAGTGTTGGCAACAGTCGCACACTCACAACAAATTCTATAAATCCCCAACTGGATGTCGACAATGTATAGCTGCCATGAAGACTGCTCACAGTGAGGTCAGTGGATTACTCACAGTAACCAGGACGATTGTTGAAAGACGACCAAATTAAATGTTGACAGATCGCTGTAGCCCACACAGTGTAACTGCAATAAATTAGCCAAGTTTTATCAGGTCAGAATCAGATCTGTGTGATTTTGTGTGTTTGTGTTCATAAGAGATTATTCTATATTTAGGTGGTTGTGTAAGACCTGTTTATTTGTACCAGAATAAATTAACAGTTGGCATCATTTCTGAGGCATCAGTTGGATTTTTTTCAAATCATCTTTGTGTTTTTGCATTTGAATTTCTTACGTCGGTGTCACTGACGAGGTGTGTATGTCTCCTCATGTTATGTTTTTTCATTGTTTGTATAGCCTGTCATCCATGGGGGGGGGGGCATCCACAGGGCATCAACCTAAAATATCCCTCATTGTGCAATGTTGCACAAAAAAATCTGAGGGGTGTGTCCCCAGACTGACCAATTGCTGCTCAGATCAATAATGACCCCAGCTCTGCATGTGTGTGAAAACAGCTTCAATCTGCTCCCACTGTGCTGCCCAGACAATCCCAGCCTAATCCATAGAGTCCAGTCCTGGATTACCATGTCTGCCCCACCCACCATCTCTGCATTATGGAAATTAGACAGGATTACAAGAACTCAAAAAAAAAAAAAAAAAAACACACCAGGACACAGACTCTCAACACAAAGCCTGAGCAAAACTCACCAGACATCTTTCTGTTTTCCTGAAAATAGTGATTACACCTGTCATTTCCTCAGATTAGTTGGCACAGAGTAGATTTGAGAAGATCAGCTCCCCTCTCTCTCTCTCTCTCTCTCACACTCACACACACACACACACACACACACACACAAACAAAGCATTTAGACTGATATCCTCTTATCTGACAGGAGTGGGCACAACATGGCAACTCTCAAATGTAGATTTGTTTTGTTTGGTTCATGGGAACATGTTGCCATAGTGACTGTGATACCTATTTCTAGGTGGATGTGCTATGCAGGCTGTGACTTCAAGCCCTGGCAGATGGTTTCAATTCAGTGTCACAGGAAGTGTGTGTTTTTGAATGGCTGAGCACAAGTGAGTGAATGAGGGAGATTTTGTGAATTTGTATTATACATCCACACCTGACGACAAGACCTTGTGTGTGTGAATGTGCATGTTCTCGTGTGTGTTAACGGCTCTGAATTGGCCGATCTACTGCAGATGAAAGACGTATTATTAGCAGATGGTTCAGTGACTGTTTCTGAGGCACCGGCGGCTCCGGCAGAATTTTCATTAGCCATGTGATCTCTCCGTTGGTCTTATTTTTCTTTCTCAGCCCAGCATGAACGGGCTAAACCACTGATGTGGTCTCTCTTCACATGCATCCCTCATTTTCCACCAGCTTTATTCCACCCTTTCACAGCTGGTAGGAAGTCTCTGCGAAGAGATCGTGCAGAGACTTTGAAATGAAAAAAAAAAGGTGAATGGCGTGTTGTGTTTTTGTTTTGTTTTTTGTTTAGAAATGAATGAACATGCAGGTGAGAAATTGCTGCTGTTCAAAACATCACACTTGATAGAAAAGGTGCTCTGACGTGTGCTGCATGTGTGGAAGCGGGAGGGAGAATATAAATATTGTCGGATTGTTTTGTGGGTGTGATAGGTACCAGGCTAGCAAAATGTTTTGATAACTGGCTATGGGTTAGGGCTGGGTGTATCAAAGATGAGAGTGCAGCACAAGCTAGCTCGTAATCCCAGCTCAGAACAGCGACCCCGTCCCATATACAACTTCAGTGACAAATAAAAAGTATTTGAAGCTTTGACATGCAACAGGACTGACACACCGGCTCGTCTAAAAGCATCTGCTTAACAGCCTTAAATGTAAAATAGTGCTCTCATGCCACCACACAAATGTGCACCTAGCATTCCCAAAACATAAAATCATCCTTTCCTTTTCCAATTTTCTAAATAGAGTTTCTCCTACTTGCATTTTCCAGCTGGTTGTGCTCTTTCTTGCCATTATCTTCTAAGCGCAGAACCTCAGTAGAAGTGGATGATGAGTGGTTTAGTGTAAATGATCCTGACTTAAACAGTGATTTACATCCCTGGTGAAAGACTCAGTGGTCCAGACACAGAGGCTGTATTTTCCCCTTGAGTCTGCAGGCTCCTGCAAACCTCTGCAGGCAATAGACATTAAAGGGCAATGTATTTCTCTGTAATTAAACAGTGAAACGGCACATTGAAAATAATGAGCAGTGTGCGTGGAAATGCGGATGTATGTAAATTAGTTTTATGCAAGCGATACCACGTCCCCTTGTACATTCGAGCTGCAGCAGGATGAGTGGTCACTTTGATGGGAGCTAATGTTGATCCTAATGAAAATAAATCTAACATGCATGTTTTCTTGAGAGGTTGCAGTGCTTGTGCAGTTTTCAGTGTTTAGTCGGCGAGTGCCAAACTCCTCGTCCTCACACAAGGAGGCCTTCTTTACCAAATAATTTGAGAGCAAATCTCAGCCAATTACTGTCAGAGTTAAAAAAAAAAACAAACTCTGGTGCTGGAAAAAGTCGGTGTGATTTGTGAAATTGGCTGTGATCAAGGCTCATACACGGAGGCCTCTTCAAAGAGGCCGGGGATTTAAAGTGTTGCATTGGACTTTTGAAGCAGAGTTAACAAACACTGTTGGGAACATGTACATTGCCCTCAGTCATTTGCCTTCATTTACGTGAACACTCAAAGTTATTTCTCGCATTAGAGCCGTGGAGGATCCATCTACGCTTTGCCATTAAGGTGAGAGTTTCTGGTTTAGTGCAGGTATTTGACTGTTTACAGAGGAGACACAAAGTTTCTATTAGATATTTATCTTAATGATTTCCTGTGAAATATAGATTATGCTGCAGATAGGAGATTCACTACAGCTTTTTTTTAGTTTAGTATTAATGATGTTTTTTGGAGCACAATCCACCATCATGTGTGGAAAATATTCTTTGTTTGACTAACTGAGTTAAAAGTGATGGGAATGGTGTTTACGCTGAGCTCGGTATAATCCTGGCAAAATATTGACAGAAGGTATCAGTGGTGGTATGACCGCCGCAACACTGGCAAATAAAGCAGCGCACGGTATGTTATTGATGTGTACATAAGCCTCTCCAAGTACCTCCAGAGAGACGCTAACTCACTGTTCCTCCTGCTTCTTGGAATTATAAAGCAATAACCTGTTGGGTGTTTTCCATTTACCTCCATGTGTACAGTCTGTCACGGTGCCAGGAGAGTCAACAGTGTTACAGATAGTGTACATAGATAACTGATATGAAGGCATTTATATGGGTCACCTAAGAGAACCATATGTTGTAGATTGTGCAATGTTCGCTCCATCGACTGTATGACCTCATAATATTTTCAATAAGTAAGTCTTTAAACCCTTTGTTTTCCCCTAATTCAACCATCATTGAAAGTAAATAAGCTGCATTTTATGTTTCACTTACGTTGGGCATTTGTGTGATTCCATACTTTCTGAAAATGATTCATACACCTCTGCTTTTCTTCTAAATCCAGTGTTTCTTTGTAAAACTGCAGCAATTTTCAGCCTCTAAACTTCAGCAGGCAGCTGAACAAACGTGAGATTAAACAGGCTATGCGTTCAGAGCTTGAAAGCGAACAAGAGGCAGAACTTCTGTGTGTATTTTGGTGTGTTTGTTTGTGTATGTCACTCTGTCTGTGTGACTACATGTGTTTATTTTCCCCATTGGCCTCCCACACACTCAAAACACTATTTCATAAAGGAGCTAATATTGTCTCACGTTCCAACACATTTGTAAAATGAAAACCAGAGCCTCAAGTCATCAGATCATCTTTCCCTTCTTCCAGAGGCCCCATACAGTACTGCCTGGAGTTTTCCCAATAACTTTATGGTATATATCTTTTTACATTCATGGAGCCGTCTTTCTCATCAGTCGTATCACGCCATCAGAAATGCAATCAAATAATCTTTAGTGAGGATTAATTCTCAACAAAGGATTATTTGAAGCAGCGACATGGCATGTGGAAATGTGATGCAAACATGGAAATGGAAGAAACATGTTGACAAATTGTGAAAATCCTCTTAAAAGGGAATTATCTGAACATATAGGGGGGAGAGTTTAAATTGTGGAAATTTAGCTGTTATCTCTGGTTGCTTAGTGACTAATTCACCAAGCAAAAACCTCCTTTAGGGGATATTTGCATATGCAAAATACAGAGATAGGGGAATAAACAATCTCTGGGTATTTGGAGGTGTGTGTGTGTGTGTGTGTGTGTGTGTGTGTGTGTGTGTGTGTGTGTGTGTGTGTGTGTGTGTCTGTACCGCATGGAGCGCCGCATCACACAACAAGGATCGAGTACCGCGGACTCGTTCACACACCGACATCCACGCTCACACACATCCCGCGATAACACGCTACCCCATCTCGCGCACGCCGCCCTACCACTCCTATCCACCTCACTTACCTAGCACTCACTCGCGGATACGGGACAGAAAAGCCGGCCGCTCACCCCGTGTGTCCTTTGCGGTGTTGTGTGGTGTGCTGTTGTGTGTGTGTGTGTGTGTGAGAACAGGACTGACATGGATCACAGAATACAGAGGAGCAGAGTGCATCAGCAGGTCTTCCTGCCATCCTCAACTAAGTGCTGCATGTGGGGAGATAGCATGTCAGTGTGTGTGCTCCACAACTTTGATCTGCATGAAGTTCCTCAGTGAATCACTCCAGTGTGTTTGTGTGTATGCATGAGTGTATGTGGGAGTGTACAGCCCACAAATTTGGTAGAACTCAAATTAGTTTTTAATTAAAGATTGTCTTGTTTGAAGAGTAAATACGAGGAAAGTTTGTACAAAGTCATCTGAGAAGTCAGACATTCAGTGACTCAGCTGTGTAACGTTGTGAAGGAGACTGTTATTGAAATAATAAGAATAGACTCAGAGTAGCTGTTTTCCTTGTGATTCTTGTCCTGGTTGTAATTACTGGTCGTAACAGGAAACAGGAAGGGTTTGATAGCAGCAATGTCACAAATTCAACAGAGGAGCAACTGACAAACAGAAGTCTGTCAGTACTTGTTATGATCATGATCTAATTTTGCGCGGCATATGGCGTGAAGAGTTTTCCACATGACAGCGGAGCCCTTGCAAAGATTAAAAACAGGGACACAAAACAAATATCCTCCGAAGGTCGGGCCGTGTCATTACGGTTCGGCCTTCGTCATCTAGGACGGCTACGAAGGGCCACACATTCGTAGACCGCGTCCTTCGAAGGATGCGGCCTCTGAGTTAGGACATGAATGTTGTTTTGAAGAGACATTTTTGATGTGACTGCTTCACAATAAAAGCCAGTTGAACTCATGTGCAGCAATGGAGCAGTAGGAAATGTATTTGCATCGGCAATAACTTGACACACCTTTGATATGACTGTGGGAGAATGAACTGCAGACAGTGAGGCTGATGTGAACAAGGTAAAACTACAAACAGTAATGCAGGATTTCATGCATGTGACAGCAATTTTAATCCAGTGTGTTTCCTCACTCGGCAATAGATAGTGAATTAAAAGAAACTTATTCAAATGAAAATCTTTGAGATTTCCACTGAAAAGTCCTGCATTAACTACGTCAAGATCACAAAATACAAGCCTTCTTATTATTTTATCCTTCGGTGAACTTTGTCACTGTAACTGTGCACGTGCTCCACTGGCTGCAACAGGTGCCTCTGACCCAACTCACATCTACATGAACACTTGCACCTACCTCAAGAAAGGGAGTGAATCAATATAGAAACAAGTTTGTTCTGTCTTATTGTGGCTTTCACAGTGTGCACTGCCTCAGAGGCACTTCATTATAACATGTATTAAATACAGGCAGAGGCAGAACATCCTGTCCCCATAACTGGAACCTGTATGCGTGCGTGTGTGTGTGTGTGTGTGTGTATGTGTGTGTGTCAGAGCAACGACAAGAGAGATAGTCAGTTTTTTTTTTTTGTTGCACTCTGATAAGACAGAGAATAGGACGTGCAGTCACTTTGCATACATGCGTGTGTGTGTTCTCGCGTCAGTGCGATCACGTAACTTGTGATGAACAGAAAACAAAGAGCTGAAGTGATAGATGAACACTGGCAGGCTTCACTGACTAAATGCTGGACCATTAGTGTTTGCCTGCTGTATAAACAGCAAACGTAACTGCACTTTGGATAATAGATAATATATTACGGAGCTTCCATTATAAAAGGGTCTCTTTAATCACACGCAGCGCTGTTTGTTCAACCAGCTCTGGAAAAGACAATGCTTGTATTTTTAACAGGAAGAGCAGACCTTGTATGGAAAATGATTTATCACATGGAAAGTTGCAGAGAGAGTGGTCTACACATCTGGAACACACATACACACTGTTGGCTCCTTCCTTGTTACAGTAAGCAGAGGGATGGATTGGCCATCTAAAGAATTGTCCTGCATGGTGAAGGTCAGCAGTGTGTAGGTAGTAGTGTGTGTGTGTGTGTGTGTGTGTGTGTGTGTGTGTGTGTGTGTGTGTGTGTGTGTGTGTGTGTGTGTGTGTGTGTGTGTGTGTGTGTGGTGATGTTTACCACAGCTCATGAGTCCATCTTTCTTCCCTGCATTCTTTTCATTCATTCTTCATTTTCTTTAATACTCTTGAGTTGAGGATGACAGACTGATTGTACTGGCCTGAAGTGAGTTATGCTGCGTTCAGGTGACTATTAGAAATACCTGTATTAAATAGTTTTGCATGCTTAGATGTAGAGTGTAGTCACCTGTTATTGGCCAAAATTTCTAGGGCTGTTTTAGTGAATGTATAAAGTCGGCCAGGTTCTTCTCTCGTCGGAGTTCACCTCGCTTTACTCAAAGTGAGAGGCACTGACTCTGAGTGTGTGTGTGTATGTCCGTGTGTGTGTGTGCATGTGTGTGTGCATGTGTAGGGACAGAGCGAGAAAAGCAGACACATGAACAACCACAAAGGATGATGACAGAGAGAGAAACACTAACATAATGGAAAGCTCATCATTGTTCCAGTTTTGTTCAGACTCATTGAGCCTGACAGTGTGATCACTGTGGGGACACACATGCGTCACTTCTCCTCATCAAGCCCTCGATACACTCTGTCCCGCTGGTGTGTGTATGTCCGCGTATGTGTTTGCATAACCCACTCAGCCACGATTTCATAACCGCATTCATCTCGGACATCGCTGCTCACTTCCCACACAGCTGAATATTGATGGAGCTTCAGGCCTGAATTACATTTACTTTCTCTTAGTTTCTTCCTAAAAAGCATTAAATGTATTGAGCGGAGTAGAAGAACAGAAAAAACGAATCCAAATGACCTCAAGAAAGAAAAATGACTGAGACTTCAGAATGAGAAATATACAGGTTTGCTTGAGTCCAGCTTTGTGGTAACTCTCACTGGACTCACAGGTGGTGAGAACTCACAGGTTATGTTTAGCTCAATATACTAATATACTTATTTCATGGGGGTCATATTTGATCATACCTTAATGTAAGATTTAAGCCCAAAATGCGATTTAAAGCTTTTAGTATTTTGACATTTATATAAAAGCTCTGGGAACTTATTGGTTTATTTTGACCGACAGTCAGTGAAAATCTGAAAATGTGTATGCAGTGCAAGAATTGTGTAGTTCAACCATTACACATTTTTTTTTATGTTCTTTGAGGGACGGGTGCACAATCAGATGTTCATTTTGTGCAACTGCATAGCACTGTGTTTCTTTTCACCTTTTTAACCTTAAATCCCTGTGATCAGTG